TTTCTACGATCCGGTTGGCCACTGTGAGAACAGAATGCTGGTCCTTCGCCTGATTCAACAGCCTCTTAAGTTCTTGAAAGATTACTGATACAGTGGCCAAATTCAGATGTTGCAGGAAGCTACGCCATGGCAACTTTGGGTCCATACTCTCACTCTTACAAGTTTGTGGTGAGATTTAAAGCTTCCAAGTTGCAGTGTGGAACAAAATGCCCTTTTCCATTTCATCTGAATATTTGTGATTTGTAGTTATGAAATAATGAAACTAATTAGCCATTTTTGTTTTTTGTTGCTCATTTTAAAATGACTGTTATCCTCCAGATTTTGCTGGACTCTAACTCCCATCATCCCTCACCGTTAAGAGTATTATCAGTGTGTGGCCAGCCTCAGGTTCTGTACCACCAGTCTTCCATATCCAGCTCTTCCACTAAGGATCTCAAGAATAATGCCATGTTATAACCACAATACCATGGATAGCATTGCTTATTGAACAGGGAAAAAAGGCTTGGCCCATTCCATGCAAGAGATTCTGAATCTGTAGAAATCAGTAGATGAAGCATGGAGCGAAGTATTATAGCCTACCAATTTCTACAAAATAAGCTACTTGTTGAAAGCATAGGAGCCAAGGCTGGTAATAAAGTTAGCAGCTCTGCATGTTAGATATGTTCAGCTAAGAGATAGTGACTGACCCAAAGTGAGTATCATGGCTGATGTGAGAATCTGAACCCAGAACTCTTCAGTCCAAAAAAATTAGTCTACCCATGACGAAACAACTGCTGTATTGTTCTTCCTTGGCTTATGTTTTTAGTAGCCTATCAAGAAACAAATATTTCTTCATGAAATTGTGTGTTTGTGTGTGTTCAAGTGTCACAAAATAGGCTCCCCTATCCATGTGCCTCTGATCTTCTATACAGGGTATATTTTGTTCCTAAGATTACCAGGTGGAAAGGTTTCAGTACATTTAAAGATTCTTCAAAAGAAGGAACTTGCATGATATTTTATTTAAAAGATTTAAGACACTGTCCTCACAAGGTAGTTTACAAAATGTTACAAACAATAAAATAACCCACCAACCCAACTAATTGAAAACAGGAGCAATAATTTTTTAAAACAACAACAGTGTATTACAATTAGCTAAAGACAGACTGAAATAAAATTGACCATGGGCCACTTGAAGGCTGGCAGTGTATTTGCCTAAGAAGGAGGTTAGAATAATTTACTCTGGGATTAATCAAACATGTCTCACAAGTTTTCCTCAGATAGGCTGCAACTGAATGGGTAAAAAGTGCTCCTGGCCACCTATATGGCCTGCACATCTATGGACAACACTGAGTCCAGGAAGCTTCCCAGATTGTGTACCCATCTCCTCAGGGAGAATGCAATCCCACCGAGAACCAGAGACAAATATCCATTCATACCAGCAGTTTTCCCAACCCAGAACACATCCAGTTTATCTGGATTAAGCTTCAGCTTGTTTGCCAACATCTAGCCCCAAACTGCTTCCAGACACCTGTTTCCAGATTTCATCGGATAAACTCCACCTGCTTCAATTCTTGTTTGTAGAAACTGTTAAAGATGTGTGTGTAGTCTCTCTATCAGCTCCTGGATTAAGTTGTTGCACGTTACAGATTTCTGAACAACGAAGGCAGCAGCAACTTTATAAATAGGAATGTAATCTAAAAATGAACAGTCTTTTACCCCCAAGAGGATTTGTTGCATATTCAGTTTGAAAAAGGCTTTCCTGGCAAATTGCAAAGAACTGCCTCCTATTTACTTTGCCTTTGGATTACCCCTGCCTTGGAACCAATCAAGAACAGATTATAGAACTTTCCCCATTATGTTGCTTTAGGGATTTAAAAGGGGAGGAGGAGGGCTTTATTTTTATTTCCCGAAGTGTAAAAAGCCTCAGATTCTCAAGATTCTAGATTTGCTTCTTTCGGACAAACTAGAATAGGCTTCCTCAAACTTGGCCCTCCAGATGTTTTTGGCCTACAACTCCCATGATCCCTAGCTAGCAGGACCAGTGGTCAGGGATGATGGGAACTGTAGTCTCAACACATCGAGGGCCGATTCTGAGGAAGCCTGAACTAGAACAATGCCCTCCCTAAGGAAACATTGTTGCTGTTGTTTTTGTAGCAGCAGCACCTGGTCCTCTCTAGATGTTTTGGACTACAACTCCTATAAGCTCCAGCCAGCATGGCCAATGGTCAGGGATGATGGGGATTGTCCAAAATATCTGGAGAGCACCAGGTTGTGGAATAAAGATCAGCAGAAAGCAGGCCAGAATTTCCTCCCAGAATATCTATACTAGCCAAGATGGACATTGTTTGGAGTAGGGCAAACACAATCAAGTATCTGACCACATTCTTGGGTTTCAATTGCAATGCCACCAATACAAAAATGACTGGAAGACTCTGGACGCGCTTGCTGTTGACTCCTGAACAATGGTAGTGTCAGGGTTGAGTGCATAGCAAAAACTCCATAATTATGCAACCACTGTTTCTGTGCTGGAGGTTTGGGAATTTCCAGGTTGTGGATGTTAAAAAATTTGCTGTAATAAACATATTCTTCAGTATGCCTTTAACATGACCTAAGATAACCCTTCTAAAACCCTGAACATCACTTGTATGTATAAATAAATAAATAAAGTTCAGCCAAGTGTTGTGCTATGAAACAAAAGTTTTCCAAAGTTCAGCTATATACTTAAAAGGAGGCCAAGAAGAGCCCTGCCAGTGCAGTGAAACTTCCTGTGTCACAAACTGACCGCATCTGTTTCCTCCAGGAGCTTAATGGAAATGTTACCATCTTAGTACGCTTGAGCCATTCAAAATGTTGCGCTCAAGTACACACACACACACACACACACACACACACACACACACCCCGTTTATAGAGCTTGCTTGAGACAACTTTATTCTACCACTGATGTGGCTAAATCTACTAGTATTTCATATATTTCAGTATTTTGGCTCTCAAAGCACAAACTTTAAAAAGATAACCATTTGAAGGTAATTTAATGATGCAACCTAAGAGGTAGTGATGTTAAATTCTCGAGAATAATCTTTTGGAGAATATTCTCAAGAATATTCTTGATTAATGAGGTGTCTGCATTTAAAGCAGCTGTGTAGACGATTTGTGGAGAATATTCTCTGGAGAATTTTCTAGCAGAGAATATTCTCCGGAGAATATTCTCACCTCACCTCACTACTAAGAGGGCATTGCTTTTTAATCAAGATTACATGAAGTTATTCTTTGCTGTCAGAATGCACTACAGAGAACATAGAAAAGCTACCCATCACTTTGTCAGAAGTGGTCCAGTTGGATGCATAAAATAGTAAACAGTCCTTCTTGGACCAGCTAGTTTCAAACTACAGTGGTACCTCAGGTTAAGAACTTAATTTGTTCTGGAGGTCTGTTCTTAACCTGAAACTGTTCTTAACCTGAAGCACCACTTTGGCTAATGGGGCCTCCTGCTGCCGTCGTGCCACTGCCGTGCGATTTCTGTTCTCATCCTGAAGCAAAGTTCTTAACCTGAGGTACTATTTCTGGGTTAGCGGAGTCTGTAACCTGAAGCATATGTAACCCAAGGTACCACTGTATTTTGAACTGCTATTACAGTGGTACCTTGGGATGCGAACGAGATCCATTCCGGAGCCCCGTTCGCATCCTGAATAGAATGTAAGACATGTCTGCGCGTGCACGGGTCACATTTTGCCGCTTATGTGCGTGCGCATGACATTTTGAGCGTATGCGCGAGCGGCGAAACCCGGAAGTAATGCGCTGTGTTACTTCCAGGCTGCTGTGGAGCGCAACCCAAAAGCGCTCAACCTGAAGCACATTCAACCCGAGGTATGACTGTATTTTAAAGCATTATTTTGAATGTGCAAATCAACATCTACATACCAGAGCTGGTCATTGTCTGGGTTCTTGCGGGGGGTGCTCTTCTCCAGACAGCAGTCAAGGGATTGGAAATATATTTTGTCAAACAGTCCCCCTCTCAAGGGGTCAGGTTTAGGCGAGGTTTTTCTGATTATAGAGCACATGTGCTCAGGCACGACTTCACAGCACTAAGAGTCTGAAACAGCCCAGAGTCTGGAAGAAAAGCCTGTAACTCTAACAAGTGAAAAATGCCCCCCCCCCCCGTGTTATTCAGTTAAGATTATAAGTGCACTAAGATGTCACAATGAAGAAAAAGAAATGTTTTGAGAGGAAAGGGAATCCTGTGGCCCTCCAGATGTTTCACTGCAAGTACATCTTCCCAGCTATGCTGACTGGGCCAGATGTGAATTGGAGTCTGGAAGCTGGATGCAAATAAATTCAGAAATCCAAAAGCTATAATCCAGAGATTTCTTTTTCATGCTTCCACCTCTGAAGACCAGAGTTGTTCTCGCTCGCTCACTTTTTTAAAATGTGGAAGACTGGGACCAAAGCTCACAACCTGAAAGAGAGCTATTGCTGAATAAGGGAAAACTGTTGTCTAAAATGTATAAATTATTATTGGAATGGGAAACAAAAGACGAGCTGGTTAAAGCATCAATGACCCACTGGGCAATGGATATAGGGTACAATATAGAACAAAACCTCTGGGAGAAACTTTGGAAGAATGATTTGAGATTTACTGCATGCTACATATTGAAAGAGAACTATATGAAAATGATCCATAGATGGTATTTAATTCCGAGTAGATTGGCTAAGATGTATAATTCGGAATCGGATTTGTGTTGGAAATGTAAAGAAGGAAACTTTTTTCATATGTGGTGGGCATGCAAAAAAGTTTCAAAATATTGGGAAATGATATCTAATGAGATTGAAAAAAATGTTCAGAACAACTTTCCCCAAATAACCAGAAGCATTTCTGTTAGGAATTGTTCAGACAGAGGTTCCCAGGAGTCAGAAAAAATTATGTATTCAACAACAGTGGCTCAGATTTTGCTAGCTCAAAAATGGAAAATGAGGGAGGTCCCAAGCAAGGAAAACTGGCAACTCAATATGATAGAATATGTAGTTAGCAGGCCTAACAAGCAGAGTAAGAGAGCTAGAAGAGCAGGTATTTAAAGAGGAGTGGAAATTTTTTGTCAAGTATATTGAAAACAATTCTACACAGTTGAAAATGCTGGCAGTATTAAAGTTAAATTCAACAGTATAATAAACATTGAGGTAATGTAAGATAGGAAAATAGAATCAGATGGATATATCAAAATATGCAGGAATGGTGGATAATTAAATGAACCTTGAAAGGGGAGGGAGGAGAGTCAATGGATGTATGGTATAATAAAAGATGTTTAATCTGAAATGTAAAATTTGTAAATTTAATAAAAATTATATATACGTAAAAAATGTAAAATACTGACCCCCAAAAGTCCTGGTTCGTGTCCTAATCTTGGATGTTGCTATCAACAGCATCTTTTAACATGTTCACTTCTCTTTCTGATTTTGTGTGTGATACTGGAGTTTTTACAAATTGATTTTTTTTCTTTTTTATGAGTGAAAGTAGACAATCTTCTACTACTTTGATTAAAATTTAGTAGGGCTGCCGGGGGCCAAACTAAGTAATCACAATGGCTGGATATGGCCCACAGGCCTCTTATGTATAAAACCTTTCAGTACATTAAATGGCCTGTAAGCATTTTGAGTGAAACCATACAACACTCATGCTTTGTGATTTGCTAGATTGCCTGCCATTAAAAAGGGAAATGGTGATTGCTGGGCAAGAATACTTCTCCATTCTCTTGCAAGCCTGCTCCAAGTAAGTAATACGACAGAAGAAAAAAACAAAAACTTTTACAGACGATTTTAGCTTTGATCCTAAACATGCTTTCTTCAAAATACTATTGAGATCAATTGATTTACTTCCAAGTAAATTAATTCAGGATAAGGGTACTTGCTAAAACATTTTTTGTAGCTGTAGTTCTCAAATGAAGCTTGCGGGTTCTGATTCAGAAAATGTGATCTAAAGGGTTTAATTTGATTACTTAGGCTATGTTCCTTGTGAACAGTTTTATTCACATTTAATAAGTTGAGAGTAGGTCCCTTTGGATTCTGGCATTATTTTTGAGTATATGCCAAGGTTTTAGGGGAAGAAATGGAGGCAGTGAGAGATTTTACTTTCTTGGGCTCCATGATCACTGCAGATGGTGACAGCAGTCACGAAATTAAAGGACACCTGCTTCTTGGGAGAAAAGCAATGACAAACCTAGACAGCATCTTAAAAAGCAGAGACATCACCTTGCCAACAACGGTCCGTGTAGTAAAAGCTATGGTTTTCCCAGTAGTGATGTATGGAAGTGAGAGCTGGACCATAAAGAAGGCTGATCGCCGAAGAATTGATGCTTTTGAATTATGGTGCTGGAGGAGACTCTTGAGAGTCCCATGGACTGCAAGAAGATCAAACGTATCCATTCTGAAGGAAATCAGCCCTGAGTGCTCACTGGAAGGACAGATCCTGAAGCAGATGCTCCAATACTTTGGCCACCTCATGAGAAGAGAAGAATCCCTGGAAAAGACCCTGGTGTTGGGAAAGATGGAGGGCGCAAGGAGAAGGGGACGGCAGAGGACGAGATGGTTGGACAGTGTTCTCGAAGCTACCAGCATGAGTCTGACCAAACTGCGGGAGGCAGTGGAAGACAGGAGTGCCTGGCGTGCTCTGGTCCAGGGGGTCACGAAGAGTCGGACATGACTAAATGACTAAACAACAACATATGCCAAGGTTTTGGTTATTGAGGCCTGAAACATAATAAAGACTGAGCAGGATTCTGCTTCATAATGTAACATGGCTGTAGAGATCCTAGTGTCTGTTAGGGTAACCAGAATTCAAATAGGTTTGTGTGACAGGACTTGCCTTTACAGAAGCCATACTGGCTCTGCTTCACCAAGGCTTGTTCTTCATGCTTGGTTATTTTATCTTTATACTTGCCACCAGTTTTCCTAGAACAGATGTTAAGCAAACCGGCCTGTAATTTTCAGGATCCTCCTCTGGATCCCTGTTAAAAAATTAGTGTTACACTGGCCATTTCCAGTCCTCAGACATGAAGGCTGATCTGAGGGACATATCTTTGTTTGAAGACCAGCCATTTCACATGTGCTGTGGCAGACTCAGAGAGAGAGAGAGAATTTAGGTTGCCAGTGTGTACTCTGGAGCCTAGAGCTGATAAATGGGCACTTCCTCATTTCCATGTTATATAATACAGCCCTAATTAAAACCAAGACTCAAAGAAGCTTTGTGAAGTCCGGAATTCTTAATTTTGGTTCCACTAACACAAGAATATACACAATGTGCCTTGTCGCTTTCCAGAATTCCAAATTCAAAGTGAAGCTAGACTGTTCTTGGCTCAGTTGTGGATTGTATAAATGGGTCCTGAGATGGCAGAGCCCTTTCAGCAACAGAGACTTAGATTGTTGTTCTTTGGAAAGCTTCTTCAAAAAACAATGTTAAACTGATTTTAATAAAACGTCTTTCTCAGTAACTAACTGTACTTGGACTTCACTAGGGTTGTCACCCGAAGACAGCAGGGTGGGGACTTAGCCCCCATAGAAATATTTCAAGCCCTTCTGTCACTTTTCAGGTTTCATTATGAAAAGGATGAGTAGCCATTTTACTTCCAGAGAAGTAAAATTTAAGGAAGCAACGTGCAGGTAGTATCCTGTCCAGCTGATTAATAAGGCGTAAGCCTGTTCCACTTTCCAGTGTTCTGGCAAAGGATAGCTGGCAAGCACTTGACACATCATTTAAAATGATTTACAAATTCATATATTTTGAACAAATTATAGAACTTTCATCTAGGTTTTTGTTGTTTTGCACTGACTCATATTAAAAGCAGATGAAGATTTTCTCCATCACTTTATCTCTGTGCCAGGAAAAGCTTTGCCTGCTTAATTCTGTATATTGGGTGCATTAAAGACACAAGAGTGGGGCAGAGATAGAGACCATAGCAAGTGAATGCTACTGGTCATGTAAGGCTTAGAAAGGCTGCCGATTTTTTTTTATTTTGTACAATTATTAAAGGTCTGTGAGAAGCCCCATCTTCCTGTACCTCCTAGCCCTTCTCAGGCATCCTTCTATGTCAGGCATGTCCAAAGTCTGCTTTGGGGGCCTAATCCTGTCCACTGGTCGGTTTAATCCAGCCCCTGTGGCAGTTTATTTCCTGGGGTAAAATCCTAAAAATATGTCAACAACATCAATCCTAAAAAAGATTCAACAACTCCAACCCTAAAAAAAGCTCAACAACTTGGGTTGGCCCTTTGGTCGGCTCTCATGGCCCTTCACTTCATCAAATCTGGCCCTCTTTGAAAAAAGTTTGGACACCACTGTTCTATGTAAACCAGCCTCCCAAAGTAACCTGGTGCCAAGTGCATTCCGCACCTCAAAACCATCCAGTTGTGATCAAGCAAAGATTTATTGTTGCCTTGTTTGCATCTGACTTCTCCAGCCAATCTGTGAGAAGCCAAGGACGAGGGAGCAAGGCCGGCATGTCTGGCTGTCACATAGAAGACGGAGCAAGCTTGCTTTCTCCTGCTCTGTAGGGTACAACTCGAACCAGTGGCTTCAAGTTACAAGAAAGGAGATTCCGACGAAACTTTCTGACATTAAGAGCTGTTCAACGCTGGAACAGTCTCCCTCAGGAGGTTCTGGGCTCTCCTTCCGTGGAGGTTTTTAAGCAGAGGTTGGATGGTCATCTGTCGTGGATGCTTGAGCTGAGATTCCTGCACTGCAGGGGGTTGGACTAGATGACCCTATGGGTCGCTTCCAACTCTACCCTTCTGTGGTTGTCCTTTAATCTTCCTGCCACACTTGCCATTGTCTCCTGTCACACCCTTTGAGAACCTCTACTGAAGCAGCAGGTAGTTTGCCCTCCCCACCTGCTTTCTTTCCAGTAGAACCTCCTGAATTTCTTAAGGCTTTTAATTTTTTTAAAAATTAACCATGATTGTTTCTGCCTTAGCCTCAAGAACTCTGAAGCACAATTGGTAGAATTCAGTGCGGCCAATCTGTCTGTGGATTTATTTTTGCTCCAGCAGAGGCATCCACTAGGAGAAATGGAAATGGATATGTCAATTCCCCTTTCCCATTGCAGCCACCCTCCCCAAATCTGTCCCAGAGGGTTGGGGGACCTTTGGGAATAGTGTGGGCTGCAGAGACAAGAGGGGGTAAGAGAAAATTGCCTCTCTTCCTCTTGCATTGGTAGACATCTGCATTGCTCTGGAATGAAAGCACTGAATTTCACTCCATATTTTGAAACGCTCTAGCCGTGCTCACTTTCCCCCCAACACTTTACTTGCACTGTCTCTGTAAATTTGATGGTCCACAAATTATGTATTTCTGTATTTCTGCACATAAATTGGGTCAATATTAGTCACAACAAGCAGACCAGTGTAAGTGGCTTGTGAGCAGAACCTACAGCAGGTAAATGGGCGTTGTGGGCTGGGGAGCTGTGAAGTCACATTTTTGCTCACTTGTGTGTTTCCTTCTCAAACCTGACAAATCTTTTTCCCCCCAGAATACCAGTGCAGAGACAGTGACTGAAAACAAAACTGTGACCACAGATCCCAGTACAGGGCCAGTAGAAACATCTATAAAACCATTGCCTTTTAAGTCTCCAAGCTTCGTCGTAAGTATATAGTTATACACGCTTAATATTTTATCCACCATGACGCTAGTCTTGAAACTTTCCAGATATGAGGCATACTGTATATTTTGCCCAAACCTGAAATGTAGGCCCCACTTAAATGTATATGCCCAACGTCCTCCCCCCCACCCTCCCCTTTGCCACACTACTTTTTCTTGTTCTCTCCTCCTTTTTTGGTTGCTGTTTTTCTTCTTTCCTCCATTTATTTATTTGTTTGTTTATTTTTAAAATTCAAGAGCTGGCCATAGCAAATAAATGCTGAAACAAGCTGCTTCTACCTGATACCTGAATGCCACCAGGGCTAGCTGGATCTCCAAGGCAGGGAGTTGAATAGGCTGGGTGCCACAACAAAGAAGGCCTTTTCTACCATACCCACCAACCTAGGGGTCGGCAGACTACGGTCTGCGGGCCGGATCAGGCCCAGTTGCCCTCAGGATCTGGCCCATGGGAGAAGCTCCCTCCACCGTGTGTGCGCACAGTCCAGCCTGCCGCAAGGTCTGGGGGACGGTGAACCGGCCCCCTCCAAAAAAAGGTTGCTGACCCCTGCACCAACCTAGCCTGAATGAGTTGGCAGAGTCATGTGGGAGTAGACTGTATCCAAGTTCCATCCATTTGGGGCTTCAAAAGTAATAACTAGCAGTTTGAATTGACCTCGCAAAGAGCAGAAGCCAGCAAAACCTGTCCAATTATGGACTCGTGGACTCTTGAGAAACAGGCTTTTGCATCAGGTGAGAAAATTCCAAACACTTTTCAAAGGTGAGTTCACAAAGAGTTTGTTACAGTAATCCAGACTTGATATAGCTAAGGCATTTGTGAGCTTTGCTTGAACCACTTTCACCAGGAATAGGCAGAGTTGGTTACACCAACCCAAGTTATGAAAAAGTTCTCCTGGCTACCCAGGATCATACCCAGATCCAGGAGTGAACCTGATTCTTCAAGGAGAATGCAACACTGCCCAAAAGAGCCTATATAAACCACTGGTTTCTTGTTTTTATTAACATATGGGGTTTTATTCAACTAACCTTTACGCAGAGTAGACCCACTGAAATTAATGGTCATGGCCAATTTAAGTCCATTGATATCCTTGGGACTGCTCTGAAATAAAGTTAGCTTGCTAGGCCATGTCCATTCCTGACCTTGAGTCATTGGCTTCCCTGGCGTGTGGTGGAAATAGGCAGCCCAATGTCTACACTCTGCAGTTTTTGCTAGTTACAGTAATTAATTTTAGATGCACATGTATGGTAAAAAAAATTAAAGGGGGGGCAATGTTGTAGGTTGTGCCTAGGAATAGGTCCCAGGTCTAAAAACTGAAAATGCAAGACTGTTCTTACCAATAGTACACTGCTGCATTAAGAACACTGGATAGTATTCAACTAAGTCCTTCTCAGATCCATTGAAATTACTGAACCTCAGTTAGTCATCATGTCTGTTATCTTCAATGGATCTAGTAGGACTAGCATTGAATACCACCCACAGGATTTTACTCAGGCTTCCTTTATTTGAAGAAAAATAACGTTTCCATAAAACTTTTCTCATTAAAAGTCTATTTCTCCATTTTATTCATTTTATCCAAACACACTAGTTTCGGTACAGGTCAAAATGTCCTCCTATTGGTTGCTGCAAAACAAATGTTGTTCATTTTCTGCCTAACTTCAGATAAATGGATGGAACAATTTTAGTAGCAATTTAGTCCCGCAACGAAATGCTACGTTGAATGTATTAATAGTGCATTTGTTTGTAAACCCACTTTTAACCATTCCAGCACTCTGGCATTGGTGGAGCTGCAGCTGGCAAGAAGAACAGAACCTGGAAGAACCTGAAACAAATCCTTGCATCAGAAAGGGCATTGCCATGGCAACTCAATGATCCAAGCTGTAAGCTGCTTAGATGCTTTCCATGTATTTATAAATAACAGCTTTCTTGAAAATACACCTAAATTGTTTTCTCTGCAGGAGATAGATTGTGACCAAGTTTACCTATGCAATTAAAGATCAGGTGGGCATTTTTCACCATAAAAAGGAAAGGCACATGAATGAAATGACATGGGACTGGGGTATAAATTATCTGCAAAGGATGAGAAATGTGAATGCAAATGGCACTGGTTCACTTGGGACTGTCCACTGCTTTCTCTGTGTGTGTTACAGTGCCATCCTGTGCATGTCTGCTCAGAAGTAAGTCCTGCTGAGTTCCTGTGTGAATTCAGTCTGCATATAACACAATTGGCACCTTTAAAAAAAATAATCAGTCTTTCATAGTTGTCAATAGATCCATTCTCCACTAGCTGTAATAGCAAAATACTAAGGACAGATAACAAGATAACATCATTGTCATGGGTATCTAGTTAACTTCCACAGGCAACTGGCTGGCTGCTGTAGGAAACAGAATACGGAAATTGTGTAATCTTGATCTAATTTAAGAATGCATATTCTCAAGAAATTAAGTTTTGCAAACCATACACCTTGAGTTTTCAGCCTAACAACTTTGTGTGAAGAGATTCTTTGAATTAACAATGAGGTGGTGTGCACATTTCAGTTGCAGCATTTTGGCAAGCCTCTAGTGTTCTGGTGCCCATACTTGTCAGCAGTACCTTGATAGTGCAAACATTTAAAAAATCAATGTAGGGCACTGACTTTCAGGCTTCTTGCCATCATGGAACTCTTTCCACAATTATTTTTCCACCAAGGAACTCTGAAGAATCACAGAATATTCTGGTTTGTGTTCTAGGGTGCACACTCAATTCATAGGAGACCTGCCTAGGGATTATTGAGCCTATGGAATCTCAGAAGCACGTTCTCATATTCCCTAGAGGCTGTGCATTTCATGGTGTGGCTGGTATTCTCAGAAAACTACATTTTACAAGACCGATGATGGCAGACAATCTTCAAGAAATCCCTGATAAGCAGTCAGTGACCCCCAGACTTCCTAGAAACACCACCGGACTAGAGTGGTAACAGCCAAGCCAACCCTAAGATTTCTTGCAAGGCTGCCGAATTAACTTGGTGTGACCTAAAGCATATAGACATATGAAAAGAAAAGAAAGAAAATGTGTATTTCTCAAAGGAGAGCCGTTGCTGTATTGTAGACAATCTGTCTTAGATGTAGAGGGTTCCAGGTTCAGTCTTTGGCACCTTCCAGTAGAGATAGGAAATATTTCCTGGCTAAAACCCCAGAGAAGTGCTGTAAGTGTGGACAGTTTTGAACTGGATTTGGTATAAATCACCTTCCCTTGATCTATGTTCAGAACATGGGCTAAGAAATGTGCTAAGAAAATGCAATCAAAAAGGACTGTAGCTGGAAACCAAGCAGTGCTGATACAACTTTGGTCAGGTTATTTGGGCTAGCGTCTTACTTTGGATGTAATACTAAGCCTCTGCATCACTATATTTATTTTATCTACAAATGTATAGCACCCTATTCTTTGTCAGACACACTCAGACATAGCTGGACTGGATGTTTTGGCTGCAGAGTAACTCACAACATGATGATGGTCCCAACTCATGCGGTGAGTTACTCTAATGATGTGGCAGCGGAGAGGATTAGTCCTGCGGGAGTCGCCACTTCCCCATGGGGACAGTAACATCTCCATTAACTCCCAGTGTAAAACGTAGCCCCTTTAATATTTTTTGCAGCCACTTAATTAGGATTAAAGGAAAGTGGCAGTAGAAGGCTGACACTTTATTAGACTTTAATTCTTTGCGCAGAAATAAATGTGCCGCTAAGTGTTTTTCAGCATGCTGGCCTTAGCCTGGTGTGTTCCTAGTGCCTTGTAGCTGGCAACCTGCTGATGATGCTATTTCTACTGCATTCTCTGGTTTCAGAAATAAATTTGCATATATTAGAAAGGTGGTTAGAAAGCAAACAGTTGAAGGGTGTAAAAACATCTGCTCAAGAGTATTTTTCAGAACATATTCATGCCATACATAATGATTAAAAGAAGCTGATCTGCTAACTTGGAAATGCTTCAGCCATAAAATCTGTACTGAAATCATCTGAGAGGAAGCGAGCTACAAAGACACAAAATAGCTTTGTGGTGAATATATGCTGAAATTAAGGATATTTTAAAGCACTTTGCCTGTAGAAATGTTTGCTTGTGGCAATGTTTGCTATTACTCCCCAAGCAGCTCCAGTGACTAGGAATTTCCAACTCCTCATTTAAGTATTCACACAATTTTCTAGGTCATTGACCAGGCTTAAAGTGGTACACGCTTAAAGATTTATCTGATTTAAAAGATTAGTGTATGCTCTCTCCACGCACCCTGGATTATATTAGTCTTGAGCAATGTTTGTGGTCTTATAATATGAGAGGCATATGCCAAAGGCTGTGTTTTTCATATATAATGCTGATGAACCTGCAAGCTACAGGGTGTTCAAAAAATAACTATACACCTTGGACAATGTAATATAGTAGGTGTATGGTTACTTTTTGAACACCCTGTATTTGCAATATATAACAGCAATTTCTCCCAGCCAGTTGCCTACATTTAGGTTCCACTTTCAGATCTGGAGACTAAACTGTTCCTCTGATCTATCACCAGAGATCTGCACCAATAGTTGGTACAAAGGCACATACATTTCCCTTCTGTGTCAAATGTCCTATTGAATGCATCTTTCAATGTGACTAGAGATGCATATCAACATCCGAGGTCACAGGTCATTGTGCATAACTAATTGCCCACATGGGTGGCGCTGTGGTCTAAACCACTGAGCCTCTTGGGCTTGCTGATCAGAAGGTAGGCGGTTCAAATCCCCGCGATGGACTGAGCTCCCGTTGCTCGGTCCCAGCTCCTGCCAACCTAGCAGTTCAAAAGCATGGCAGTGCAAGGAGATAAATAGGGACTGCTCCAGCAGGAAGGTAAACGGTGTTTCCGTGCGCTGCTCTGGTTTCGGCAGAAGCGGCTTAGTCATGCTGGCCACATGACCCGGAAAAACTGTCTGCGGACAAACGTCGGCTCCCTCGACCAGTAAAGCGAGATGAGCGCCGCAACCCCAGAGTCGTTCACAACTGAACCTAACTGTCAGGGGTCCTTTACCTTTACCTTTTTACTGCTGAATTGGGATCTTTGTTTTTATCTTTCTCTCTTGCTATTTATAATTAGCATTTTGTATTAGTCATTTAGCACCATAAATGTGCATACTAATTTATTTATTTTTAAAGTAACAACAAAAAAACAGATTCCTGCTTCACAGGAGCTTACAATCTAAAATTTGATGCAGGGGATGCAATGGTAAAAAGAAGGGTAAACAGTGAAAGAATATGTTTGGTTCAGTGACACACACTTAGGTAGATGAGAAGTAAGGGAATAAGCCAAAGTCTTAATGGAAAAGGTAGGGTTTGTGGAGGTTTGAAGGAAGAAAAACAGGTAAATTAATGTAATTGGGAGTTCCAGGCGCAAGGGAGAAAAGGTGGTCATTTGAGAGATTGCGTGATCAGTCCTATATGTTTCTACTCAGAAGTCTCATAGAATGGAGTGAGGCTTATTTGTAAGTTAACGGGTATAAGATTGCATCCTAAGAACTTTGGATGACTGGGGATGGAGCTGGAGAGCAAAGGTCCTGGGCAGCGATACATCAGTTTGTGTGGGTGGAGAGATAAGGCTGAGAGGCAACACCATGAAGTATTTGAAGCTGCAAATAAGTATGTGCTAGATGTGGGAGTGAAAGAGAAAGTTTGTGTGGGGATTTTAAAAGAGGCACCATGTAGTCTGTGATGCCACATCTGGAGCAAAATTGGTGAAACCACTATTTAAGACAATAATTTGAGTAATGTCAGCATTTAATTTGGTTTAGTACTTGCTAGTGGTGTGCTTCACATTGTTTCACTAGGCAATGCAACCTGATTCTTCCATGCTTAAAAAAAGGTAAAGGACCGCTGACAGTTAAGTCCAGTTGCGAACAACTCTGGGGTTGCAGTGCTCATCTCGCTTTACTGGCCGAGGGAGCCGGCGTTTTCCGCAGACAGTTTTTCCGGGTCATGTGGTCAGTTCTGGCGAACCAGAGCAGGGCACGGAAACGCCGTTTACCTTCCCGCTGGAGCAGTACCTATTTATCTACTTACACTTTTTGGTGTGCTTTCGAACTGCTAGGTTGGCAGGAGTTGGGACCGAGCAACGGGAGCTCACCCCGTCGCAGGGATTCGAACCGCCGACCTTCCGATCGGCAAGCCCAAGGCTTAGTAGGGATTAATGCTTTCTGCAAATGCATTCAAGCTGACAAAGCTAGTGTGCTCTGCATGTGAACAATGTCCTGCCATCACTGCCACTAGCCTCTCTCTCGATTAAGGGTGTGGATTCTCAGGGACTGGAAACAGGACTCAAGTCAAATTGATGGAATGATTCTAGTCAGGCCTCAGGCCCAAGAATTTGTAAATTAAGAACTGCTTTCCAAAAAGAGGTTAAACGAAGAATTGAATGCTTCTTTCTCTCTTTCTGGCACACCTCCAGATTTCAGCATAGATGCTCCTCCTTCCTTTAAACCAGCCAAGAAATACTCTGATATTTCAGGACTTCCTGTAAGTATTTTTCTTTTCATATTTCTTTGATTGGCTTTGGTCTTACTCTGTCCTTATTCAAACTCCTGCACAGAGGGATGGTCCTAAATAGCAGTAACAAGTTCTCCCTGTTCTGGGGAACCCTGTAGTACTTTTGGACACTTATCCTCAATTGGGAGAATTGTAAAGGCAGACAAACCTCTTGGAAAAACCAACCTGTCACTGCAAATCTTCTTCAAAGTATAACCAAAGGACAGCATTGGCTGGGCTGTATGGCACAACACTGTCAGTTCACCCAGAACAATGGTGAGGTCCAGCCAGTTTGCCTAGTATTTTTAGGAACTGATTATTTACCCTAAAACATGCCCCAGTGCTCTCTACAACACACTTGCATTCTCTGCAGGTGGAAAGTTTAAAGAAAAAAACTACTCTGTTATTTAACTCCTATTTACTGTATTTTTTGCTCTATAAGACTCACTTTTTCCCTCCTAAAAAGTAAGGGGAAATGTGTGTGCGTCTTATGGAGCTAATGCAGGCTGCGCAGCTATCCCAGAAGCCAGAACAGCAAGAGGTATTGCTGCTTTCGCTGTGCAGCGATCCCTCTTGTTGTTCTGGCTTCTGAGATTCAGAATATTTTTTTCCTTGTTTTCCTCCTCCAAAAACTTGGTGCGTCTTATAGAGCAAAAAATACGGTAGTTCCTTTCAGAGTGAAACCCTTCCCCCAGGTGGCTTACAGAAGATAATTAGTTTCATGTAAATGCGGGATAATTTAGTTTCATATTTATTTATTTTCAGCATTTAAATCCTGCCCTTTATGCTTTCATGATGGCTTACAAAAATCAGTTCTAAGACAGTTCCTGCCCTTAGGCTCACAATTTAAAAAGATATGATGAAGAGAAAGGACTCAGGAGCGTCTTACCCATAGAGGCAACTGGTGTGGGGCACCAGGGCACCAAGTTCTGGAGGGCGCCAGGGAAGAGGCAGAGGCTGGGCGCAGTGCCTCCCGGCATCAGCTCGCCGCCCTTGCCTGCCTCGCTGAAGCAGCGCCATGGCCGGAGCCTCCGCCTCTTCCCCGCCAGAGGAGCCGCCCTCCAGCTGCTGCCAGCAGCGCCGTAAAAGGGTCGGCAACTCTGGGAAATGGGGGGGGGCACCGGAGGGACCTTTGCACCACAGCGCTGGATATACTTAAGACAGCCCTGAAAGGACTGCATAGGTGGAGAAAAAAGGAAGCTCAAGCAAGATTTCTTAGAGTTGCAGCCAATGTCAGTGGCGATTCTGGCAGTCTTGTCCTTGATAAAGATCAACCCCTCCCTTAAACACCTCCCCCCCATTCATATCCAGGAGCAAAGCTGGTGACCACAGGCACCAGGTTCTGCCCACCTTTGACGTCACGCAGCGGGATGGGGCCTCTGGTAGCCTTTTGAGACCTGCCTTTGTAGGTTCAGGCCAAAATTCCTACCTAGGAGAACAGCTCAGCCCCTCCCTTGAATTGGATGAGTCCTCTTTCACTAAGGAAACTGTTGCAGGTGTAAACACACCTTATGCCTTTTTTCTGGCTGTTTGGAAACTGGGGAATTCAAAAGGACAGTTGCCAGAAACGAACCAATATGAGTTACTTTCATGGAGTGCTTTCTAAGGGTTAAAAAGGTAAAGGAGCCTTGATAGTTAAGTCCAGTCGTGAACAACTCTGGGGTTGCAGTGCTCATCTCGCTTTACTGGCTGAGGGAGCCGGCGTACAGCTTCCGGGTCATGTGGCCAGCATGACTAAGCCACTTCTGGTGAACCAGAGCAGCGCACGGAAACGCTGTTTACCTTCCTGCCAGAGCGGTACCTATTTATCTACTTGCACTGCGTGCTTTCGAACTGCTAGGTTGGCAGGAGCTGGGGCAGAGCAACGGGAGCTCACCCGTTGTGGGGATTTGAACCACCGACCTTCTGATCAGCAAGCCCTAGGCTCTGTGGTTTAGACCACAGCAGCACCCGGGTGCTGATTATGTGCACTTAGTAAAGTGCAGTTTCCTAGGACTCTTTAATTGTACATTTTTAGACATAGTCTGCAAGTCATTCTTTAAGAGGTTCAGTTTTCCAGTTCTTTTTTGGGGAAAGCTTAAGAAACGAGTATTCAGACACATACATAATTGTTTTGTAGCTATATGCTGTTGTGTACTTTATGGAAAATTGAGAGGACACACCCATACCTCAAGGAGCCTAAGAGCTAAAAGCAGACAGAAAAACAACAGAAGAAAGGTATGAAAACAGAGTTATGGGTAAATGAGGAAAAAATATGTGACCATAGGTAAAGCCATCTTGAATCTTTTTGGGGTATAAGGCAGGATAGACTTTTATTTAGTAAATGCAATAAAATAAAGGTATCAAGAAATACCTTTATTTTATTACATTTACTAAAAAAAATGTCTACCTGTAATTCAAGCCTGTGGGGTAGACAGACTTCTGGTTTACCTTCAGAAAGCTGTCATTTTGTCTGAATGTCTGCCACACGAAGTAACACAGAGATTACCAAAAACACCCTACAGCAAAAGGAATGTTTGCTTTTTGTTCCATTTTGGCTCTTTTTAATTTTCTAGGGAGTTTTTCCTTTTACCTTCTAAGCCTACCTTGTAGCACTGCCTATATTGTTGTGGGTGGAAGAATCCTCTTGCCTCTAATAAGAGTTCTCAGCATCACCTGTTTCATTTAGATAACTGGATTAGTGGGTGGTGGTGGTGTTGTTGTTTTTAAAAAAACAGCTAGAGATCTTCAAAGGAAGCCCTAAATTCGACTTTGCAATTACTTCCTAATGTAAGGTGCAAAAGGGGTATTGTAAAAATCTAAGATGCTCCTTGTCTTCACAGTGGCATCCTCACTTGTCCTGGTTGAAGCTGGGGTTGCATAATTCTGTAAAGAGTCTTGATCATTAAAATGGAGAAGGCAGTGAACATTTTCATCCAGATGCTGTTTGTAATTTTTAAACCGGCATTTGGAAACGGTTGGGGCCTGCAGAGGAGGGGATCCTGCACCGCCACATGATCTGCATGTGGGGATCTCTGTTTTGGTCCCTCCAGGAGCAGAACTGGGAAAGACTCTAGCCTGAGAAGTTGGATACTGGCAGAGAAGCCAGGGCTGGGCTAGAGGGACCAGTGGCCCATCTGACCAGGACCGTCTTAAGCATATGTCAACCTTTTTTGAGGGAGGGAACACCAGCAGTGGTGGAGGAAGCCTCTTGGGACAGGACAGCGCTGCCGGTGACGCGCCCAGCTTTGCAGGCTGGAGGAGGTGGGCAGCAGCTGAAGGGCGGCTCCTCCAGCGGGGAAGAGGCAGGGGCTGGACGTGGCACCTTCCGGCTTAGCTGGCCGCTTTGTGCCATAGTGGCTACAGCAGTCAGAGGCTCCGGGTGTGGCACTGCTTTGGCACGGCATGGTGGAGGCGGGCGAGGGCAGCAAGCAGGCCAGGGAAGCCAGCCCCATGGAGATACACAGCGCCTGATGCCCGGCTCAAAGACGGCTAGCAGGAGGGGTGGCGCGCATGCCTGCGCCTCAACCTGCTAGGCGAGCGAGCATGCTGAGCGAGCGGACCTGTACCAAGTGAGCAAGGGTGCGTGTGCCCCTCCCGCCGACTGTTGCCTCAGTTTTTAGCCTTCTGGCCCCCCACAGAATTCAGTGCCTACAGGTTAAAAGGGGGAAAACCGAGCCAACGCTTGGCGGGAGCGGCACACGCGCACTCAGCGCACTCGTTCGGTGTTCCACGGACTCTCAGCTGGCGCCCTCCAGAATTTGGCGCCCCGCACCACTAGCATCTATGGGTAAGACAGCCCTGCATCTGACACAGTTTAAGGCAGCTTCGTTTGCAGCATGTCCAGCTGTTACTTTTGCTCCTTGCATAAAGGTGTCCATCTACTTTCCAGAACTTCACTGCACAGGCAGTTCTCAACAAGGATGTTGAGTAGCCCTTCTGCCAGAGGCGTGTAGAGGAGCTGATGGGAGCCCCCATGGATAGTGTTCCAGGGCTACACTAGAAAAGCAACGTCCATTGCAATGGGCCCACCCCTGAGGTTGGGGCGGGCTCAGTGCGCTTCCTAAATCGAAAGGGGTGGATCATGCAAAGTATTAGCTTTTGCCTCAGCATGTCATCATTTTTTAATATTGTCATTCTGCAGCCATCATATTAAAACAAGAGTTTCATTTAGGGGCTGCATTTGCACTTTTTAGATTTCTCTTGAAATTTAAAAGATGAGCCCCTGGTCATATTAATGCAACAGAAATTTCATTCAATGCTGGAGGTGGGGAGAATTAAGTGCTCAAACATCTGCCTCCTTCTGAAGACAAATCAGCCCTGTTGCTATAGCAACAAAGATAATTATATATAGCTCAGCTCTGGCTGTGGTCTTCACCCTAAGCTTACAGAAGTGTAAGACTTTTTCTCATCAAAGTACAGTGTTACTTTATCTAACTTATTGTATAATTTGGGAGTGAAATTTATATATTCCAATGTAATTTATATAACCCCATTGCAGTTTTGCTGGTATGCAGCAATGTCTCAGTGTCTTATTTCCTAAGATGAAGAATATGAATTGAAGATAAGTTAAGGCCACACAGTTTTTGCATTGCTGTTGTAAATTTATCTCGATAGTTTAAAATAGAAAATATTGCTGCTGGAATATCTCTCTAGGCATCCATCAGTGTCTAAATGTTTCTCCAGGAAGAATCAGGAACTCCACCGGGCATAACACTCAAATCACAAAGTTATATTGTGGGTTGATTTGCCTCCTCTCACACCACTGATGGAAAACTCGACACAAGACTATAATAGCCATTGAGAGACCCATCTTCCTCCATGAATTTGTCCAGTCCCCTTTTAAAACTGCCTAAATTCCATTGTTAATTATATACTATCTGAGGAAGTACTTATTTTGTCTATCTGGATCCGACAGCCAATCAATTTCATTGAATTTTATAGACCACAACTAAGCTTAAAGTCTTGTGTCAGGTTTTCAGGCTGCTAAATGGAACCTCCATACTCAGAAGAACTATACCTTCTGAATAACAGTTCTTGTTGGGCAAACGATCTTTATTTTATTTTCTTACATTTATAACCCTACCTTTCTTCCGTCATGGAACCCAAGGCAGCCTACATGTGGTTCTCCAGTGCTTACCCACCCAGGGTAGTTTGCTGGCACTCACTGAATGTTGCTGTTAGACCGGGGTCAGCAACCTTTTTCAGCCGTGGGCCGGTCCACCGTCCCTCAGACCTTGTGGGGGGCTGGACTATTATTTTTTGGGGGGGGGAATGAACGAATTCCTGTGCCCCACAGATAACCCAGAGGTGCATTTTAAAGAAAAGGACACATTCTACTCATGTAAAAACATGCTGATTCCCAGACCGTCCGCAGGCCAGATTTAGAAGGCGATTGGGCTGCATCCGGCCCCCGGGCCTTAGGTTGCCTACCCCTGTGTTAGACAATCCCATGAAGTCTGTTTATTCAGAAATCTAGCTCTGCAGGTTAGCTGTGATAAAGGAATGCTGATGAGCATTCAGAAAGTAAGCTTGTAGGTGTACATTGTCAGACCTAGTTCTTCTTACTGCCCATCCATTTGTTGTTGTAACCTGCCTTACATAATACAATTAAATATCTTGCATGTTTATATGTTATTTATTGACATGGTTCTCTAACGGGAGGAGATCACAGAAATGCAGTTATTTGGGTTCACTGTTAACAGTGTTTGTTTCTTTAGCTGTTGGTGGAAATTAACATTTCACAAGTAAACCACATAAAGAACTCTTTTTACCTGCTAGGAATCTGGATGAGCAACACCATGGTGACCAGTCATTTCCTTTTGCTCTTTACATTGTGCTTTGTGTTCTTGAAATAATTATGATTTCAAAAGCTGCACTAAAGTTGCAAAAATACATTCAAGAATATCGCCATCATTTTATTAAGGAGACAATACGCCTTTTTAGGGCAAACAACGGGGGAGAACCATTTCCATAGTGCCCCGATTGTATATTTCGCAGGGAGAAGTGGCTGGGGCTAGAATGCTAGTTTAGTTGGACCTTTGCTTTAATTCATTATGGTGTGACCAGCATATTTTCACCTGTATTAAAAGTGTGTGTGTTTTCACAATTTTCAGCTCAGATGTTTGTGTGTGTTCTTCTTTTAGGCAAACTACACTGACCCACAGAGCAAACTGAGATTTAGTACCACTGAGGAGTTTGCCTACATTCGGATGCTTCCTTCTGATGTTGTTATGGGTTACCTCACTCTAAGGAAAGCATCAACTGTAGTTCCCTGAGAAGAGGAAACAAAAGCCAAAGCCTTGGGAATCACTGCGCATTTGCGTGTATAGAATAGGTCAAAGTTCTTCGAAATAAAATATGAATTATAATTATTGATTTAACCTTGATGCTTATATTTCCTTTGTAAACAATTTGAGCAATGTATCATTGCATTGGAGCCACACTTACAATCCTCCACATTTTATACATTCAGTGCTTTTCTTCCAGGTTTTTTTTATTTTATTTCTGAGTGTTAGTTTTGGCTTCTTACATTTTTCTCTTGAAGCGTCTTGACGTGACCTATATTTTTCATGAGATATGCTGCTGTCTTACATCTCTGAAGGCAGTGGCCAATAGGAAAACTACCTAAAGAAGTACTATGTACATACAATTGGTTGGGGGATGTTAAGGCAGCAATCTTACATGCAGTTACTTAGGAGTAAGCTGCATTGAACATGATGGGCTTACTTCTCAGTAGATGTGTATAGAATTGCGAAGTCTTTCTGCTAGTAAGCTGGTAAACGAAAGCAGATGTATAATTATGTTCTGCCAGCCTGGCTTGTGGTTGGAAAATTATACGGTTCCATACGAAGAGGGTACGTTAGCAATTTCTTTCACTTTCCCCCTGCATCAGAAAGAGTACTGCAGTACTCAAACAAAAAGTTACTTCCTTTCTTTGCTTTTGGACCAACCCTTTTTAACACTTCAAATCTCTTGGAGAGTTAGCAACAACCTTGCATAAATCTGATTTAAAGGAGCAGACCCTTATTAGGGAGTTAACTTCCACTTTCTTTTACTTTTATTTGCTTTTATAAAAGCGCAAAATCAACCACAGAACAAAATCATCACAGAAAGGAGGTATGAAATATCAAAGCAGAGACAAAGAGGGGGGCAGAGACATCCATATTCCATTCCAGGCTTTTGATATAATGCAAATTATGACGTGTCTATGAAAATAAAAACTTCACTTTTGAGTCAGAGGCTTTACAAGAGTTATGAGAGGATAGTGACATTTAAGAATCACACAGACAAAAACACACCCAGAGAAGATCTGGTTAAATAAAACTGCCATAAACTTACATTTTTCCTGGACACTGAATACCAGCAAACGATAGAAGTTCAACAGCTCTTTCAGAAAATATGCAAGCTTGTGCAGTGCGACAGATTTCTAGAGGAAGAGAATTCCATAACTTTGGGTAAAAAGGTAAAGGTACCGTATTTTTCGCTCCATAGGGCGCACCGGACCATAGGGCGCACCTAGTTTTTAGGGGGGGAAATAAAGAAAAATAATTTTATTTTCCCCACCCCAGCCCCCAGAACAGGTCCAGGAGCGGTGGCAAGATTGCGCCCAACCTCGCCGCCGCTCCCAGAGCTTGCAGGGGCTGGGGACAGGGGAAGCCCGAGCTTCCCGCGACCCCAGCCCCCAGAACAGGCTGCTATCCGCAAGCCTTCGGAGCCCAAAAGCTTGCGGATAGCTGCCTGAAACCCGGGGAGCGCAGCAGGAGTTGGCGCTGCGCTCCCCAGGCTGCAGGCAGCTATCTGCAAGCCTTCGGAGCCCAGCGGGAACTCCCGCCGCGCTCAGAAGGCTTGTGGATAGCTGCCTGAAGCCTGCATTCGCTCCATAGGACGCACACACATTTCCCCTTCATTTTTGGTGGGGGGAAAGTGCGTCCTATAGAGCAAAAAATACGGTACCCCTGACCATTAGGTCCAGTTGTGAACGACTCTGGGTTGCGGTGCTCATCTCAGTCTATAGGCCAAGGGAGCCGGTGTTTGTCCGCAGACAGCTTCCAGGTAGTTAACCACAAAGCATCTCTTTGGCCCCTTGCTGTTTGAATCTGGTGCCTCAGCAGTACATTCAGGAACGTCTTTTCAGTTTTCTCAATGATTGTGTAGTACAAAGGAAAGAAAACAAACTCTTGAGTTATGCTGGGCTTAGGCTGGTGTGGGCTTTATTGGTTAAAAAACAACACCTTGAATTGCACCTGTAAAACACTAGGGCATAATACAGGTGATGATACCTTCCTGAGCAAAGAGGTGGCAGAAGAGCAGAAACAGAATTCGGTATTTTCCAAGAGCAACTAATGCAATGCATAAGGGAGGATGGATTCAGAATGAGCACTCGGATCAAGCAAATCTGACATTCATGATGTGCACCTGTTTAGTAATGATTCATCTTTTATTTACACACATTTTTTCTATAATATAGCTAATAATAATAATAATAGTAAGCACTTTTAATTATTCTGTCAACATTATCCTTTAAATGTGCCAGCTTTGGGCAGCTGGCACACTCTATGGGAGAATGGGCAGGGGCGCATTCTCAACTGTCTCTCAGATGTTTGGCTATATGTGGACAGATAGCTAAGGGAAAAACTCATGCAGCGCCTGTGACAGGAAAGAGCCACTCAGAAAACCAGCACAGGGCTAGTCACGCAGGCATGCCCCTTCCTTCTCACCATCTGGTTTCCCCTCCAAGTTCTGAGTCACATTCTTCCTCTTTTCCCAAACGGAGGGCTCCAGGAAGTAGGTTGTTTGGCTTGGAATTAGTCAGAAACAGGTGGCTCCACCTATTGGGAGTTAGTCTAGAGTCTACAACAGGCAGCCCTTTGTTTTGAACAGCTCTCCTGGACACAGAGGAAAGAGTAGCGGCAAGGCCACTACTGGCGTTCAGCAGCCTTCGAGACGTTTTGATCAGCCAGAACAAATGGTGCTTTTCTGAAAACCCACACCTTGGTAAACCTACACAATCTGAAGCAGGTGTTATCCATGCGGCCTGATGGTGGTGTAGCCTACTGGGAGCAGACCAGTTCAGCACTCACAGCTATCTAGGCCAGGCATAGGCAAACTTGGCCCTCTAGATGTTTTGGGACTACAACTCCCATCACCCCTGACCACTGGTCCTGTTAGCTAGGGATGATGGGAGTTGTAGTCCCAAAACATCTGGAGGGCCGAGTTTGCCTATGCCTGCATTATAATCTCCCAAGTAATTCTGATAGAGTGGAGGAAGGAAGGTCCTCTTCTCTCTCCAGGTGCCTGCAGGCCAGGTACCAGGACTACTAGGAAGTGTAGTTTTCCAGGGGCTGCAGAAATGCTAGCTGCTGGGAAGTTACATCTCCCAGGGCTCCTGGCATCCAGCCATAGCAGTGTATCAGGCATCAGATGGGAGTTGGAGACCTTCCTGCTTCCCTCCGGTTCATCACTGCTGAAACAGCAAAAAAGGGGGGTGGACGAAGGAGCACAGATATGGGCATGTGGGTGGATATGGGGGGCAGGCAAGAAGAAGGACTTGTTCTCCAGCTTGGATTAATATCTAGGATAAAGAAGAACATATGGGGTCCTGAAGATCACCTCATACAGTGGTACCTTGGGTTACATACACTTCAGGTTACAGACTCTGCTAACCCAGAAATATTACCTTGGGTTAAGAACTTTGCTTCAGGATAAGAACAGAAATCGTGCTCCGGCGGCGCGGCGGCAGCAGGAGGCCCCATTAGCTGAAGTGGTGCTTCAGGTTAAGAACAGTTTCAGGTTAAGAACAGACCTCCGGAACGAATTAAGTACTTAACCCGAGGTACCACTGTATTAAAAATGAACTCTGTAAAGCTGACAAATTTTGTATCTTCAAGCCGGGGGTGGAGTGGAATGTGCATTTTGGTGACATGATGCCATTTTATCCTTTTAAGGTAAGTTGGGTTTAGAGATGACTCGACTGAAAAGGAGTATGCCTCTTTTGGGAGACTGCTGCACAACATAGGGGCCACCACTGAGATAGTCTAGCATGGCTGCGTGTCTCCAAATCATCTCCAAATGGAGCAGGGTACGAACCCTGGATTTAAGAGCCTGGGGAGGAAAAGTATGGAGGGATGTGTTGATATTCAGGGCCTAATTTGAATACAGCTTAAAAGTAATGATCAGCACTCTTAGTTGGGCTCAGAAGCCGAGATTTTGGCTTCACATTATGCTCATCCCGTTAAAGTATCGTGTGAAAAGTAGTGCTCTTTAGAGATATGCAGCAAAGGATGGAGAGAACTGGATTTGTTGGCAGCCTTTTGCCATCCACTATGACGCTGTGGGTTAAACCACAGAGCCTAGGACTTGCAGATCAGAAGGTCGGCGGCTCGAATCCCCGTGATGGGGTGAGCTCCCATTGCTTGGTCCCTGCTCCTGCCAACCTAGCAGTTCGAAAGCACGTCAAAGTGCAAGTAGATAAATGGGTACTGCTCTGGCAGGAAGATAAACGGTGTTTCCGTGCGCTGCTCTGGTTCGCCAGAAGCGGCTTAGTCATGCTGGCCACATGACCTGGAAGCTGTACGCTGGCTCCCTCGGCCAATAAAGCGAGATGAGCGCCGCAAGCCCAGAGTCAGTCACGACCGGACCTAATGGTCAGGGGTCCCTTTACCTTGACCTTTATTTATTATCACCATCTCTCAATCAGCAGAGACAGGCTATCTAACGTTAACCAGTTTTCAGAGTGGGAGGAGAAGGACTATTTAGCTGCTAAGGAGAGGCAAAGGAAAGACAGTGCAGAAAGAAATGTAGGCAGTGGGTCCAAGATCTCATTCAGCTTTCTCTGCCTGTTTCCAGGGGAGATTCAGAATTCTCAGTATTCAGAGCTTGGCTTACAAGTGGCTATTTTTCGCATAATGTGCAGCTAGGTGTTAATTGGCAGGCAGGGCAGCTAAACCCACACTAAAGCGAAGTGATCTCTGCAGCTCTGTTTAATAGCCAGACCACAGAGTTTGTCTCCAGGCGTCCTATCCAGAGAGCATTGCAGTCGTCCAGGATCACCGGTGCATCCATCACTATGGAAAAGCTCCAGTCCTTGAGCAAGGCATGCCACTCATTTATCCACCAAAGCTGATAAAAAGCACCCCTGAGCTTCAAGGACCAGTCCCTGGGAGGGGCGCTGTTGAAATGTCTCCAAGATTTAACTCCCGCCCTCAGCCCCGCTCAGCCAGAAATTGAGTCCCAACAGCTGCTATTGTCACACAAGCAAAATGCAATGTAATCTGAATTAATACCAGCTTTGTCAATTTGTAATGAAATGCCAGTTAGCATAGAATGGCTTAATGGTGTTCAAGGAGCAAGAAGATCTATACCTTTCCTTCACGGTTTTAGTT